AAAGAAATGGTCAAAAGAAACTCCAACTTGATGATTTTGCTCTTATTTGCATAACTTTGACATGCAGTACTGTAATACATGACAGTATAAAGCTATAGTACTGTATTGTAGTCAGCAAAAATTGCAGTACTGTATAAATAAGGTCAACTCTACGAAAAAAAAGTGAAATTCTATAGATATACAGAACTATATTAAAAAAAGATGGGTCATAAGTCCAATTTGAACACCTTGGTTATAAGTCTAAATAGTTGTTAAACAAGTGGGTCAGTAAATGAAGAACATCAGTTTTGGAAAAAAAATTTTCCAAAATTTGTAGATTTTCTAAAAAATGTAAATTCAGATTTTCATTATCAATGATTATGAGACACTGAAAGAAGTTAGAGAGACTAATACTTTAGAGTTTGTTCTATAGTGCTTTTGGAGGGGATACAAAACAAGGTAGATTGTAATCTAAAATTTTGTTCAAGTCAAAAAAACTAGAGGACTTCTCAAGTGAATAGCTGGCTTACATGGTTACTGGTTAACCTGGAGATAATCTTGGTTTTGGTACTATTTGTTTTTTCTTGTAATTATCTATTTCCTTCGGGGATTTAAAATTCTTACCTTTTCAAAAAATTATCCATAAGTATCTTGGAAGACACTATGTATATTGTTCTCTATTATGAAACAGAATGTTGTGAGAAATTGAAGGTGCAGGCTTTGCCAGCACCTGAAGCACCCCTCCGCTGTGCTTTCTTAAGGAAGGTAGGTCTCCAGTAGAGTCATAATTTGTTTCCTTCTTACTCTGAATAAAAGTTTATTAGCTTGTGATTTAAGCAAACCATCTGGTCCTGCTGGCACTGTGTATTGCCAAGCCTGAGCTTTGTCTTTAATATGTTCATGGAGGCAGTTAAGTTACATTCCTGATTCTCAGGTCTAGCCAGGGCTGCTATTTTTCCCCCCGTCTTACAATTTTTACTTTTAAAAATTATGGTGTGACTTGGAGCATATTTTTAAATTACAAGGAATTTCTCTTTGTTTTTTAGTTTAAAATTTATTTCTTCTTCTACGTAACTTTCATTGCCTTCTTTCTTAGTGATGGTACTCAGTGTTAATTAACAACTGCTGTGTGGTAGGCATGTGATGAAATAGATGTCCAAATGGTGCTAGCTGATTTGTCCTCCTCAGTTGCAGAAAAGAAGCAGAAAATAAACTGGTTTTCTAGCTTAGAGCCAGAGAGCAAATCATGTGATTAGTTGGAAATCCTTGTTTGTAGCCTGCTCTTGCCTTGAATACTAAAGTGCTTTGAAATTTATTTGGATATATCTTGTGAATATGTCACTCCATTGAGAAAATTAAGCCATCTTTTGGAAAAGTATACTAACATAGAACTTTAAGTTTATATGCACAAAGCCCTGGGTTTGTTCCCCAGCACTACACACACACTAATCATAATCATAATCATAATCATAATGTTTGCTTGTTTTACAAAACACATAACAATTAATTGCAACTCAAGGTTTTACTGTATATAAGAAGTTTTAAAAAATGTAAAAGTAATAATATATATTAAGAATGCTGATCATCTTTCAGAGCAGATTTAGAGCAGTAACAGTTGAATAAGTGTATTTATAATGCTCACAGCTGATGAGTACTGTAACGCTTCTTTATATGTGGGAAATACATTAAAGGACTCTCCACCAGTGGATGCTTACAACCATAATGTACTGGGGTTTTTTGTACATGCATACCTATAGACAATGTAATATGTAAATTAGGCACCATAAGAAATTAATAACTAATATAAACTAGAGAAGTTTTGGTACTGTACTGTAATAAAAGTGAATATGGTCTGTCCTCCTACCCTCAAAATATCTTAATGTACTTCCCATCTTTTCTTTTAAAGTAAGTACATTATTGCATCTCTTTGACATACCTGAATTGTTAGTATCAATTTGTGCTTTGAACTATTAATAAAATAAGTACTACTTGAATATTAGCACCACAGTACCAAGACAGGGAATCTTAAAACTGAAGTGGCCACTAAATAACTATCAAAGCAGGTAACATATGTAATGTGGGTACTTGGGACAAAAGCACTATTCATATCCTGGCAGAGTAGAGGAGATGTCCGTAAGAGTTCATCATATTACTCAAAATGGCACACAATTTAAAACTTAATGAACAGCTTGTTCCTAGAAATCTCCATTTAATATTGTTAGACTATAGGCAACTGACGTACAGAAAAGCAGAACTGTAGATAATGGGAGGCTACCATTATACAGATGTGTGTTTTATGTTAATTTGATAATAGGTACATGTGGTATATCCTGTGCCTGTAACATTTCACATTGCTCATTTAAATCTGCTTATATGCTGCACAAAGCATTGTTGAATCTTTTTACATTTTGTAAGTAGTCTTTCAACAGTGTCTGATCTTTTAAAGTGTAGTGTTCCTTCAGACCATGACTGTTAAAGTCCTCATTACTTTTTATGATCCTGAGTCTGTTGATAATCCATATTGATAAAAATAAATTATGATGACCATTGCAATGTAAACAAATCAGTTGCATATACATTGTATATCTAAACATTAAACCAAAGATTTATGAGAAAGGATACCTCATAATATTGAGGTAGACATAATCTTATTCAGTACACAGAATGCTGTGAATATATTAAAACATAAAAAAAAATTTAACTTTATTAAGTTTAAAAACTTCCCTTTCTTTAAAGTATCTTAAATAAATTTATATATTTTCACACAGAATATCATAGTTTTTGTTTTGTTGTGTTTTTGTTTTCTTTGGTATTGGGAATCAAACTCAGGACCTCGCACTTGCCAGGCAGGTACTATGCCACTGAGCTATATCAATATCCGGCCCTAGTCGCAGTTTTGAGAGTTACTGAATTGTAATTTTAGTCAACAGCATGGACAAATTTCACAGATGCAATGCTGAGTGAAAAATCTGTAAAATTATGTGCATCATCATTCCATTTGTACAAAATTAAATGAGTAAACACTAGGGTGTGGGAAAAGACAGTAATGGTTACTCTTTATCTAGAAAATGGATATGAGACAGTTTCTGCAGTTCTAGTAATGTTGTTTATTGATCTGTATGCTCATTATACAGATGTTTGTTACATGGAGATGATTCTTCAAGCTGTGCATTTATTGTTTGAGTTTTCCTTTTTATATGTGTTGTATTTCAATGGCATTTAACAGAAATTCAGATGTGTGGAAAATATATAGAGTTGGCTTCCTTTTGGAGAGAAAAAAGGAAGAATCAGTACATGCTTCCTTGTGTATGTGTAAAGTGCTAGCAGCTGCATGTCCAAGTTGTATAAAAAATGTATACCAAATTTGTTGCAAGGAGTGATAAAAGATAAATAGTAGGGAAACTTTTAATGATGATTTAATTTCTATAAAGAATGGACATATCTTGTGTTTCACTTTTTTTGTGTCTTGTCTTATCTTGTCCTTGCTTTGCTTTGCTTTTCCTTTCCTTTCCTTCCTTTCCTTTCCTCCCCTCCCCTCCCCTCCCCTCCCCTCCCCTTTCCTGTTTCACTATGCAGTTCAGGCTGGCCTTGACCCCACTACATACCTCAGGCTGACCTGAACTCATGGTGATCCTCCTGCCTCGGTCTCCCAAGTGCTATGATTACTGGTGTACACCAACATGTTCAGCATTTGTTTCATGTTTCAGGGTGCCTTTTTCACTACTGAGTTTATGTTATCATAAGAACTTCTTTGTAGTGTTTGTACCCAATTTTAGACCAGATGTTGCATGAATGAAGTTGATAAAATGGAATCATAAAAAGTTCTCAGAATGGCAGACAATTATTATATTCTTACAAAACTTGCAGATGTTAATACTTGTTTGAGGAGATCTGCATAACAATAGTTCATTTGGAAACTTGGACTGTAATTTTATCTATAAGGATAAAGTAAGCAAGTGTCAAGAAACTAAATGTGTCCTGTGTATCTGCTAGTGTAGCAGCTGATACCACACAACATGACACATGGACATGAGTCTCTGATTTCTGTGAATCTGTGAACAACTCTGGCATGTCCTGCTACCCTTCTGTAGCCAGAATATCACACAAATTGACTTACAGTGTGTAACAGTTGCCCTGTCTTTGCCTGTCTCATCTCTACATCTGAATAGATTTGTTATCACTGAGATTATTTCTTGGCAAGCAGCTTCCTGATCAAAAGTCTTGTGTTTGGTACAGTTGGCTATGTTTACCAGGCTAAAGTTACATTTTAGTGATTACATGGTGATTACATAGTCTTTGCTTCTGAATTAAAACAAGCATTGTTTGTTTAAATAATTTTGGTAATAATTTTTGGTAAACAAAATGTAAATAGAAATTACAGATAAACTACATGCTTTGTTGCAACCTTAGTTTCTTTCTTGTGTTTTAACATTGTCATTATTTTTACCTTGAGTAAATTTTTGTTTTTGTTTTCAGGTCTATTTATATAAGGGGTATTTTTCAGATCTTTCTATAGCATTCTGTCTCCTTTCTAGCTATCTGATTATACATTTTTGTTTTTGTTTTTTCCTGCCTATCTTTAAAAAAATACCTGTTGAATCTATTAGTCATTTATGCCCTTTATTTCCTAAAATTCTTACAGTTACTTTATTTTTATCATATTTGTTATGTGATAAGCATGGAAATTTCTACACCATTTCCAAGCAAAAATCTATAAACTAGGTTATGTATGGTAGAGTGTAATTTCTTAAACTAGCTTATATGCCCTTACTAAAAAACTAACACACATATATGTATATATATTTCTTTCTGTCATAAACTGAAAAAGAATTATGTTGGGATATCTTTATCTATTGTATCTTCTTTATGTATACACCTGATCCAGGAAAAATATACAGACTTCTGTGTGTTGTTATTTAGTGTCCTGGATGTTTCAGTGCCCAGGAGGTGCCCATGACCTACTTCATCTGACATTAATTGATCAGAATGTTTTCTTTTTCTCCTTACCATACTCATCATAGGTGGAAGAGCTGTTGATTGCCATGGAAAAAGTAAGACAAGAATTAGAGTCTATGAAAGCTAAGCTGTCTTCTACCCAGCAGTCTCTGGCAGAAAAGGAAACTCATTTGACCAATCTTCGGGCAGAGAGAAGGAAACACTTAGAGGAAGTTCTGGAGATGAAGTAAGTGTTTGAAAACTTTGGGTACATGCTTAGTAGAAATGCTTTTCTTCATGGCTTTCATCTTCTGACTTTGTTTTACTCCTAAAACACTTAGCCTAATTGTAATTCTAGCTTGTGTTTCTCACTCTCTAGGAAAAACCTGGTAAAAAGTCCTACATATCCTGATCACATAGAATTATTTAATTTCTTTTCCAATGAATTTTATAGTACTTTAGTGTGTATTTATCTGTGTCTAATTGCCTTTCTGAGATGGTGTGGACACTAGATAATTTTTAAAGCTACTTCTTATTATAAACATTCTCACAGGCACACAAATGTACAGACAATAGTATAATGAACTCTTTTGTATCTGTCCATCAGATTTAACATTTCGCCATACCAGAAGCTAATTTTTACAAAATTATTACTTTCAGCAAACATATACTCTACCTCATTTTCCTACTTGCCAGACATCTTGTGGTTATACTCTGTTGTGAAATTTGTATATGTCTACTAGTACATAAGTGATGCTGCTTTTCTTCTGTGTGTGATCATATGTGTTCTGAAAATCCAGTGGTACTGATGTAAAAGAGATAGAACACCCAACCTGATGTGTTGAATCTGTGTTTTTTGAAATCCAAGAATGAATTCCAAGGAACAATGGGGATTAATAGTAGGAAAGATTGAGAGAGAGGATGCATTGAAGAGGAGATTGTGTGTGCTCAAAGGAATGCAACACACATAATTGGGAGCTGGGAAATTGGAATAGCTCCTGAGAGACAGGAGGGGTCCTGCATGGGTTGCTGCTGAGACCATCTATTCAAGAATATTTTACAGGATGAAATCATGATGTAGATACGATGTGGATCAAGCTATAATCAACCATTAAGATTACAAGTATAGCTGCTTAGCTAATATTGATCCAGTATTTAGCAAGGGTATATGAAGGACATCATTAACTTGGTTTGATAATCTGTATGGTCTTAGCCTTGTCTTTCGTTTTAGTCTTAGTAGTTTAGTCTTGATGGAGGAGGAGGGCCATTCCCTACAGAGATAATGTTCTATTCTACAGGAAAAGGTATAGTATAACAGTATAACTTTAAGCTTCTTTTTATCCCTTTGCAAAATGTATAATTATGGCCACTTGGATTTTAGTCTCGCGGTCTTGCCTTCTTCAGTTGCTCCTCTAGCAACAGTTTTAATGTGTTCTCATCTTGTATACTGACTCCCTCAAGAGCCTATTCCGATTGCGTATTAATTTGTATTTAACTTAGCTGTACTATCCCATTTACTCTTAATAACCTTTATCCTTACCTAAAGACTTTACTCCCATTCTGCTGAGACCAGGTCTCTCATAAGATCCTTTGGTTTCCTGTATTAAGTCAACAGTTGCCTGTATTTTTGTTAACTTCTCTTCTGTCTCAGAGATAATCTCTCTTTCATATGGGGTCATTTTCTTTTCTCTGTCACAGATTTCAAACATTAGGCCCTCTAATGTTTTACGAATTTTGATGTAATGATTACTCACTTTCTATAATTTCCCTCTTCTCTGCCTAAATATAGTCCCTCTCTGACTAAAATAAACAGATGTTTTCAACATCACCATCTCTTCCTTTTTGTTACTGTTACTGAGTAACCTGCTTCTAGAAGTGGCTCACGAACTAAGCATTACAGGGTTCTGGGGTTGCTTGCTTTTTCCTCTGGAGTTAGATTCTAAGTTCTTCTCATCTTAAATAAAGATTTAAACAAAAATAGCAAAAAACAAAGTGACAAAGTTTATTTGAGAGAGTAAAATGAAGAGTGAGGGAAAAACTGGCTCGTCTAGCCATCCTATTTAAAGCCTGTTTGAGTTCCCGAAGTCCATGTGCAGGGCTTTGGGAACTTCTGGGCATGTGTCTGGGATATTGTAATTTACAGGTTGTGCCTATTCCTCTACCAGCTTTGCAGTGCCTTTTTCTCCCTTCTCATGACTTGACCTGTCAATAAGTTTTGAACACCTGATTAATAGAGAAGCTAAGGGTCTTGCCTTTATACTTAACTTGAAGTTAGGGTATAATTCCTGTGGTAGTAACTGGAGCAAGCAAATGTTGGGGTTACCTATGATTATAGGTTGGTATGCCACAGTGTAAGGTTGATAGTTTTTGTTTGTTTGTTTGTTTGTTTTTAGACATGGTCTAACTATGCCGTTCAAACTGGCCTAGTACTCACAATGTAGCCCAGACTGGCCTCGAACTCACAGCCTCCTCCTTTCTCAGATTCCTAAGTGCTGGGATGATATGCATTTGCCAACCACACCTGGCCTAAAAGATTAATAGATTTTAACCTTTTAGTAAACATTGCAGATATATGCCTTTCCATTTCTAGATGATATGCTTTTGGAAGTACTGAGTAAATGAGGCAAGAAATGACTGTTGGAAGATTGAGAGCAGTATACCATGAGAAAAAAATTTTCCAGTATCTTTGTTATAGAAATAAGTTAGTGAAGAATGGCAAGTTTTTTTCACTGGAAGCAAAATTCAAAGCTTAATATTTTGGAAGATCAGTAATAGAAGTGATTTAGCAATGGAGTAAAATCATTAGATATAAAGAAGTCTCGGATCCATTCCTAGAATGTAGTAGGAGATAGAGTTGAGGAAAGTATCAAATGAGGTTTCTTAGCAAGTGTAAGGTGAATGAAAATAATATTGGGAAGAAACAAAGCATCATATATGGTACTCCTGTGGAGAAGCAGGCCTTGTTATAACAGCGGTGGGTAAGTTTAGTTTTGTTTCCTCAAAGCACCAATATATGACTTGACTTGCCAGATCTTTTCCATTCAATTTAAATGGCAGCTTATAACAAAGTATGGTATATGTGTTTTGTTGTTGTTGTTTGTTTTTGGGTAATGGGGATCATGTATTTTGAAATTTCCCTTCATTATTAGGACTTTAAAAGTGTATAAAAGTGTTTTAAATTATACTGCAATGAAAGAGATTGTGCTTTATTTCTCTGTGTGTGTGTGCTTGCGTGCATGCATGTGTGTGTGTATGTGTGTATGTGTGTGTATCACAGTACCAGACTTCATTTTGAACTTCTCATATCCAAGACTGAAGATTATATTTCTGGCAAATTAATAATGTGATGAGTAAAGCTGTTGTTAATAAGATCAAGTGCTTAATAAGATGTGGAATAATTTAAAAATATAAGATCAAGTGCTTAATAAGATGTGGAATAATTTAAAAATATAAGAAAATGTTTCAGCAATATAGAAAACCTTTTAAATAACTATTACAATTTCTAGAAATAAGATGTTAAAATTTGTTCTGAGAACTGGGCACAGTGACACACACCTGGTTTTTTAAATTATCCTGACCTCGCCAAACCAAGAGAAAGAACCTAATATGTATTGTTCATCACCAACAATCTTGATTATAAAATTTGAGCATCTGTAACAAATAAAGATAAAGGGCAGCTATAAATGAGTTTGGTAAGATAGGGATCTGTGCATTTGGTAGCCTGGCAGTTGTTTTTGTATGTCTTTAGGTTGGATAGACATCCCTAAAGAGAAGGAACATTTTTCTTGGAAGATCCCACAGTGGTTTAATCTGTTCTTTAATGCTTAGGGTTTTTAAAAAATATTTCATTTTAAAATTTTTGTATGGTTGGTAGTTCCATTTGATTGTTTATGAAAACACAGTCTTTTGAATCAACCACAAAATTGTAAGTAATTACCTTAGTTACTTTCTTGTCAATGGGACACAGTAATTAACACCCACGATTTATGGTTTATTTTGGTTCAGTTTGTAGAGATTTCAGTCTGTAGTTGGGTTGACTCTGTGGCAGAGGAACACTGCAGAAGAAAAGTTGCTTATGGCGCTTCAGCCCGGAAGCAGAAAGAAAAAAAGGGAGGGGTGGGGAAGGGTGATCCCTCCCAGGCCACGCCCCATTTAATTTGCTTCTCTTAACCAGACCCCACCTGTGATCCCATGAGGCTTTGGAAGGCACATCTACATCTAAATTCTAGCAGTAGTTACACAGATTATAGGCTAGTAACAATTTATGCATTCCCAGTTATGGCTCAATCTTGTATACTTTTTGCAAAACCATGTTTATTAACAATTCTACCACAGATTTTGGGGGGGTTATTAGACATATAATAAAGGACTTTTAGTGCAGGTAAAGGCTTTTTGTCACAGTGAAGTATTCTGTAGGAGATCCATATAAATTAATATAAAAATTTCCTACACTGGTATTTCAAAAAAAAAACAAAATATTATACAGCTATAAAGAAATAGGGTTGGTGAGGTCAGATGCTTTTTAAAACTATAAAGCAAAGTTTATAATCAGCTCTCCCTTGGAACTTCCTCCCTAGTCTTGCCTAACTCTTGAGTCTGCTCCTGTTTTTCCTATCACGATATCCAGTCCTCTTATATTGTTTACCTTATAAAATTTATGCAATGGACTGCTCCTAACATTTTTACTTCATCAGAGGTAATAGTTTAATCTGCATTTTAAACTGTTACAGGACAATAATGGTAATGGTTGAACATGGTAATTATTGGAGTTCTTTCATACTTTCTGCCCTTAGATTTTTATCATGATGCTCAGCTTCCCACCAGGTGAGATGGGAGCATTAATTATAACTGTTTTCCTCAAATCTTTGTAATTTCTTGTAACCTGAATTAGAATTAAATAACTGTAAATAACCCTTACCTTCTCTACCCTTAAAACCCAACCCTATTCCATATTTTAACCATTTACTAGCAGAAATAACTTCAAAATGGAAGAAACCACTTTCTTTGAGGGGAAAATGTCATGCTTCCTAATTGTCTTTTCACATAAAATATATCAGATGGCTAGACTACTCTCCATGTAGCAAGTAAAACTCTGAACTTTACAGGTAAAGCATTCCTCAAATTCCTGTCTTTTTTCTTAAAATTCTTTTTCTTCTATTACTGTACAGTCTATGTGCACCAGTGTCCTTACCAGTACAGGGTTGAAATAAAGAATATCTGTTATCCTCTTTCTTACAAGGGGACAGG